TAGAAATTATTTAAAGGAACTAAATAGAAATTCTGGAGCTGAAAAGTACAATAAATGAAATAAAAAACTCTCTATAGGGTTTTAGTAGCAGATTCGAGCAGTCAGAGAAAAGAATCCGACACAAACAGAACACTTTACTCAATAACAGAATGCAAATTATTTTAAGCAGACAAGGAACATTTTACAGGGTAGACCATATGTTAGGCTTAACAAAAATTTCAATACTTACAAAGATTAAAAATATACAAAGTATATTCTTCATCAGCAATAAAATGAAATTCAGAATTGATAACAGAAAGTCTGGAAAATTTACAATATGTAGAAATTAAACAATACACTCTTAAACAACCAATGGGTCAAAGAAGAAATCATAAGGGAAATTAGAAAATATGTTGACGTGAATAAAAATAAAAATACAACACACCAAAACTTATGGGATGCAATGAAAAGCAGTGCTCAGTAGAAAAATATTGTTGTAAACACCCATGTTAAAAAGGAAGAAAGAGCTCATATCAATAACTTAACTTTCCACTTTAAGGAACTAAAGGGGAGAAGGAGCTAATTAAACCCAAAGCAAACAGAAAGAAGGGAATAATAACAATTGGAGCAGAGACAAATGAAATAGAGAAAAGGAAAATAATAGAATGAATGAAACAAAAGTTGGTTCTTTGGAAAGATTAACAAAATCGACTAACTTTAGTTAGACTGGCCAAGAAAAAAAAGAGAGATGATTCAAATTATTAAAATTGGGAAAAGTGGGGGCATTATTGTAGACCTTACAGAAATAAAAAGGATTTATTAGAGAATAATGTGAGCAATTACATTCCAACAAATTAGATAACGTAGATGAAATGGACAGATTCTTAGAAATAGACAAACTTTCAAAACTGACTCAAGAAGAAATAGAAAATCTGAATAGATCTATACAAGCAAAGAGACTTAATTAGTAATAAAAAACCTTTCAACAAAGAAAAGCCTAAAACCAGATGTCTTCACTGGTGAATTCTACCAAACATTTAAAGAATAGTTAACATCAATTATTCTCAAAGTCTTCCACAAAATATAAGAGAAGGGAACACTTTCTAACTCATTCTTCAAGGCCAGTGTTACCCTGATACCAAAGCCAAAAACATCACAAGGAAACTACAGACTGAAATTCCTTATGAATATAGATGCAAAAATCCTCAATAAAATATGGCAAACTGAATCCAGCAACATATTAAAATCCCACCATGACCAAATAGAATTTATCCCAGAAATGCAAGAGTGGTTGATGGCACAAATATCAATAAATGTTTATATTCATGGAATGAAAAAACCCACATGGTCATCTCAATTGATGCAGAAAATGCATTTGACAAAATCCCATACTCTTTCATGATAAAAATACTCAACAAACTAGGAATAGAAGGAAACTTTCTCAACATGATAAATGGTATCTGCGAAAAACGCACAGCTAACATCATATTCAATGTTGAATGACTGAGTTTCCCCTTGATATGGTTTAGCTGTGCCCCCACCCAAATCTAATCTTGAATTGTAGTTCCTATAATCCCCACGTCATGGAGGGACTTTGTGCAAGGTGGTTAGATTATGGGGACACTTCCCCCATGCTGTTCCCATAATAGTGAGTGAGTTCTCATGAGATC